TCTCTCTCTCTCTCTCTCTCTCTCTCTCTCTCTCTCTCTCTCTCTCTCTCTCTCTCTCTCTCTGTCTGTGTGTGTGTGTGTGTGTGTGTGTGTGGGTGTGGGTGTCTGATTATGCGTTTGTCCGTGTGTGAACTCACGTTTCAATAGCTCCCTCGTTCTGCGTCCCTGCTATTCATCCCTCCACAGCAGTCAAGCTTCTCTCTCTCTCTCTCTCTCTCTCTCTCTCTCTCTCTCTCTCTCTCTCTCTCTCTCTCTCGATCTTTCGACCAGAAACTTGTGCCTAAGATCTCCGCTCGGCCTCGTATGTCTCACAGAGCATCTCCTCGTTACTCTGTAGGAGATGTTCTCGGTGGTGGGAAAGAGCTGTTTTCTGCATCACCCCCTCCCAATTCTCTCTCCTCTCCTCTTGCCCGCCTCCTCCCCTGCTCGTTGTTACAGACAGCTACAAACAAGCCTAAGCGGTTACTGCGCACATTAGGGCCTTTTAGACTGCTCTCTGGGCGTAATTGCGGTAAGATGCATTCAAACACAGTCCCGGTATTCTGGTCAGATACGTCCTGAAAATTCTCGTCCGAATGGCTTTTTCTTAGCAAACCCTGATGTTAACGCCTACCACCTATCAACTGCTACTGCTCTTCTTGATCGAGCCGACACGTGAAAATCATTTTCGACTCCCCCCTGGCCGTAATTGCAGTAATATACATTCAAACAAAGTCCCGGTACTCCGGTCAGAGAGGCCTGTCTGCACGCACACACACACGCACACACACACACACAAAAACACACATAACATATAATATCTTTATACATATTATATATATATATCGTCCAACATATATATATCTATCTATATATGTACTCTTTGCCGATATATATTCTTCAAAAAGAGAAAGTATATAATTCCATAACATTTATATATATATATATGGCGGCTCGTTCTTCCACTATCGCTGGTAATCAATTCGCGGTCTGAATTGAATCCCCGCGCGGCTTCTGCACTTTCCTATTCCGTCCTCTGTACTACTACTACTACTACTAGGGAATTTGACAGAGCTCGGTACGGATAGAAAAGCCCTTCCTTTTCTTTCCTCTTTAGGAAAGTCTTAATCAGTTGACATCGCCCAGAACGCAAGTCCATAAGATCCTTTTGTTTTTCTTTGTTTTTTTCTCTCCCGCGCTGTCCACAGCCTGTCTCTTATACACATCTAGATGTGTATAAGAGACAGGTGTGTGTGTGTGTGTGTGTGTGAGAGAGAGAGAGAAGTTGTCAGTGTGACTGTATGAGGCGCAGGGGTTAGGGGGTTAGACAGCCTTCCACACAAATAGTGAGGGAGCGAACAGAAAGGGGGTAACCCCCACTTTGAATTTTATTTCTTTTTTTTGCCCATTTTGAGTATTGTGATTTCATCGTTTATAATTATTACTGAATACGCATCAAGGGCATACGTCCAATTTGGTCCAAATCTTGTGAAAGTACATTTCTTGTTTATACAGCATTATTTTTATTCTTGTTAAGTTGTTTATAATTGAAAGTTTTAACCAAAAGATTAGCCTAAAGGAGACTTGTTGTCGCACGGTCCACGTCACCAGAGTGGCCCGGGACCACTTGCCCGGCCGTGTCAAAAATGAAAAAAAAAAAAAAAAAAAGTGTTTTATTTTTAATTTTGCTAAGAAATTTTTAGCAAAACATACTTTTCTTCGTGATTTTTTGAAAAAAATAAATAAATAAGAGTATATGTTAGCGGGTTGCCTCCTGATGAGACGAGGAGCGCAACTCGTTGACACTCGTAGAGGATGATCCGCAGACTTGAGCACGTCTGTATATACCATCCTTCAATTTGAAAATTTTGACGAAAATTTATATCTCATCCTTCAATTGGAAAATCTTTACATCCTTCAATTCGAAATTTTTTATCTCATCCTTCAATTGGAAAATTTTTACATCCTTCAATTGGAAAATTTTGACGAAA